TTTTATATGGAATGAGTGCTGTCGCCGAGTGAGAGCAGCAGCCTAGCCAAGCGCAGCAAAGAGAGTCCTGCCCCCTCCCCCCGATGGCATGAGTTGAGTGTGCGTAAATAGAGCATGAGAAATGCGGGAAACCGAGCATCGTCGATCGCAGCGATAAGGACAGTATGACGGGAAAAGAGACGTTTCTGGAGAGATGTAGACCGGACTCACTGCAAAAACTCATCCAAAATCGAACAGGACAACTGAGAGCAAGAAATACGAGCACTATTGCTAGGCACTTCAAAAATGAGCTACCTCACTACTGCAGCTGTCTGAAGCAAACTGTCCGGATAACTGAAGCACGCCTTACCAAAAACAAAGCGAAGTTGCCTCAACAAAAATGAGAAAATCCCTCTTCCGAGCTCCCAGACACGCTCTTTCCACGGAACATCAACTAAAGCTCTTTCTGCCTCAAATATTTTCAGTGAAGAAATCCCCAGGAGAGGGTGGAGGGCCGACTTTTCAGGATACCTCCGTTGCTTATTTCCACTCACAGGAAAAGAGCTCTAGCTCTTGCCTCTCCCCCTCCTCACCCGCGCTCTTGCTACCCCTCCTTTACACCTCATGACTACATTATTCGTTTTGATTGCCTGTTGTCCGAAATAATCTGAGTCACCGCACTGATAATGGTAATATTAAAAATCAGAGACCAAAAATCATCGACAAAAGTATTCTCTTGCAAAACTGAAACTCTGCGAAAATCGACCAGCAGTAGCTGATCTTTATCAGTTCTGTTGGCTTTCGAAATATTGGGAAGAGGAGGGTACAGCGAGAAGGAGGGAAGGGAAGGGGAATGAGGGATGAGGGTGGGAGACGCCAAAAAGACTGAGTTACGAAAAAACTGATCATTGGTTATTTACTGGACTGCTTTTCTCTCTCCCTATCCACACTCATCCCTCACCTCTCACCCTTCCGTTCCGCTTTCCATGAAAGGGAATGCTGGAGCATGGAAAGCACAGAGTAACCGGAACTTTAGGATCGAAACTGGCCGCTGCTGGGAAGTCAGGATTGAGGCTACTGGAAAATTCAGATGCCAAATTCGGTCTTAACTGAGAGCTGAAGACCAAAGTCGTTCTCACTGAGCACTGAGTGCAAAGGAATCCCCTACATAACATACGGGAGAGGGGGAAGTGCTTTGTGGCAAAACGAAGTGCAGAAAAAGAAAACTTATGTAACGGGATGCAGGGATTGGGACAATGCAAGCAAATGTTTGCGCCAAAACGAAGTGCAAGAAGCCACCGGGAAGGACTATGCGGGGTGAGAGAGGGGGCTGGAATACAAATTGCTAATGCAGTGAGAAAGAAACGGGGTCC